TTTAAAAATAGTATGTATAATTGTCTATATAAGCTATACATGAGTTCACAATGATACCTCTAACCATAATCTGTTTCTTAGGCAGACAAATGGGAGACACTCATATAGACACATACACATAATAAATAGTAAAATAAATTTTAAAATATTTACAGGGCAAGATGTGGTAATATATCTATTGAAGGGACACTAGCCCACTCTGGCAGGCCTTGCCCTCCCCTCCCCCCATTTCCTCTGCCTTGCTAAAAACCACTGGATTACATTCCTAAAGATAGCCACCAAGGTCTATTCCTTTATTTGACCACCTCCTCTTCCTGAGGCTGACTACCAAGGTCCAGCTATCAAAGTATTGAAGTCCAGCAATTAAAAGTCCCCACTGGCTCACCTAATTAACATGCTTAATTAAAATTAAATACCTCATCCTAACACAGTGTTTTCCATTTTACATTTATAAGCCGCCATTTGCCTATGGGCCACGGCTGTCTCCCCTCTATCCAGAGGCAGTCCTGTCAATCTGGGACAAATATCCCGCTCCCTCTCCCTTGTTCCCTTCCCCCTCTCTCTTGTTCTTTATCTCCTCTACCGGCACATCCCAGCTCATTCTAGCCCAGAGCCCCCTCTTTCCCCTCTTACAAATCACACCTGCCAGGTCATTTGCTGATGTTTCTATGCCAGAGTCAGAAAGCAGCCACTTAAACTTTTCTTCCCTGCTTAATGAAGGATCTCTCTGTGAAAACAGGTGTTTGGGTGGGGTTTGTGCCTGGGAGGGAGCCCCCGCTGTGCGAGAGTCCACTTTATCTATAACCTTAGCAACTTGGCAAGTACCATGCTAGCCATGATCACATAGCAATCGAAATAAACCAACAAGCTAGGAGTAGGGGATTACACAGCTGTAATCCCAGCCTTGGGCACTGTTCTGGTTGCACTGGAAGTAAAGGAAGCCGCAGCAGAGAGAAACCGTGGCAGGGTTAAGTCCACTCAGAGGTCGGCTGCTTATCTGAGACTAAGACATCAGAGTCAGGTAGGACCTGGAGGCGTCATCTCTCACATCCCCTGCCAGTTCCCTTTCCCTGGCCGTCTCCACCCATGCTTGTTGGCCAGAGACGTGGTCAAAGCAAGTCAGGTGGATTCCATGTCTCCTTTAGCAGTGCCTGCCTTCAGAGCTCCTGCGGGGAGACACAAACCAGCGTCAAAGCCAGGGACGGAGAGTTCTCCTTAGATTTGTCAGCAGGAACCCAGGGCCCCTCCTCCAAGAACTCTGGCCAGGAGATCCATTTGAAGAGAGGAGGTGCAGGGCTGTGATGAAGCCCAACACACACACACACACACACACACACACACACACACACACACACACACGTGTACACACTGGTGACTAAGGAGGTGATGGATATTGTGTGAACTTTTCTACGGAGATGAGCACAAATGTCTACTCCTCTAAAGCTCCAGTGACAGACTTTGGTGAACCCATGAGTTTATAGAGCATGAGTGACCCAGAAAAGTCTCTCTCAGCAGGGATGGTGACTTCCCAATAGCTGCCTAGATGGAGCCTAGACTTGAGTTAACCTCACATCCTCAAGGGCACCTCTGAGACCAGAGGCAGCCTGAAACTGGGACAGCCCCTGGGAGGGAAGTGCAGGAAGAGGCTGCCATCTCCAGTGAGGGGCTACTGGACCCCCCACCCCTTCCTTCTGAGTGTCAGCAGGCCCCATCTCAGGAGAGCTGCTGCTGATACGGATGGTGGTGGACAGCAGTCCAAAACATGTTAAATGTTTTTATAAACAGAAGCTTTTCACAGTGTTCGTGAATATCAAACTGTCCTGTTGGATACCTTAAATGTGCCCAGATTTTGTCAAATAGATCCAAATAAAGCTGAAAACCACAAACACATCTACACTCCCAGTTTATAAAGAAGCAGGCTCGGGGAAGCTGCAGCCTTGTGTGTGTGTGTGTGTGTGTGTGTGTGTGTGTGTGTGTGTGTGTGTGTGTGTGTTGCACAGCTGGAGTCTAAGTCCTTCAGGCGGTCTAACTTTGCTTTTAGATGTCATCAGTTTCTCCTGTTGTCATTTTATCCAGGACATTCCTAGGCTAGCTATGATGACACTGTAACCCCGGCACTCACAGGGTGGCGGCAGGAGGATGACCAGTTTGAGGTTAGCCTGACTCACATAGTGAGATCCCGTCTCTAAAACCAAACCAAACCATAGCCAAAAAAAAAAAAAAGAAAAAAGATATATTTTTCTTTCCTTTTCCTTCTTCCTTCCTTCCCTTCTCCTTTCTCTCTCTCTCTCTCTCTCTCTCTCTCTCTCTCTCTCTCTCTCTCTCTCTCTCTTTCTCTCTCTTTTGGCAAAGTCTCACAACTTCACAACTATAGCCCACACTGACCTAGAACCTCACTATATAGCTCAGACTGACCTAGAACTCACTATCTAGCACAGGATGGCTTCAAACTCTCACAAACACTTCTTTCTAACTTGGCCTCTGGAGCACTTGGATTATAAGTATGTGTTACCATGCCCAGTTTATGAGGTGCTGGGGCTTGATCCCAGGGCCTTGTGTGTGTACCTAGGCAAGTACACACACGTATGCCATTATCTTTTGTTCTTATTCATCCCCTCTCCCATTATTCTCTTACCTCCCGCTCCTTGCTGGTCCCCGACTCCCACTAGTTCCCTCCTGATTTCCATCACTCTCCCCTTCAGATCTTTTCTATTGTTAGGTCCTGAGAAATTCCTTTCCCCAAAGTCTGGCATTGAGACATTCCTTCAGGGACTTAAGTTCCGAAGAGCTAAAAGGAGTTATTCTCCTGATCTCTGTCAAAGGGGCCCCATGGCTCCTCCACTGACCTGTGTAAGTGGTGCCTATCAGCAGGCCAAGGTCGATGCTAACCTCTAGGCTCCCTCATTCCCTACTCATAAGTACCCGTTACAGAGTCACCCTGGCTGGCATGCCCCGCCCCCTACCCTAAACCTCTGGGCCCTGAGCTTCACCTCTCTTTTCTCCTACGTGACCCAGCCATTTTGGCTACATATTCTCTTGATGCTCTTAGACTCTTCATCCTCTGCTCCTCTCCTCCTCTCCCTGCCCCCTCTTTCTCTCGCTCTCCCTCATCTCTCTCTTCTCATGGTCTGGTTCAGTCTGGACTCTTCCAGCTGCCTCTGGCTGTGCTTGCCCTCATATCTACAATAAATACCTTCTCCTCAACCATACCTCATTTTTTCAGTCACTCATGTAAACAAAGATCATAACATGTGCGTTTTTATTACACAATGAATGTTCTCTGTGGACCCATACGGGTCCATATTTGTTCTATACATTCTTCTCATGCCATCTGACCTCTTTGGGGTCATTTCTAACAGCGGGCTGTGTTCTAACCTGTTCACCCAGGAGTACCAGGACCTGCTGACCTTTTGCTGTAGGGGAGGCTCCTACAAAGGAACTGTGGATTCTTTACAGGCAAAGGTCCTCTCAGGCCTGAGGGAAGGTGGGGTTGAGTAAAAGGCCAACCAAGCAGATTTTGATAGGTACTCAAAGCAACAGGGCTGTGTGGGAAGGTCAGCTTCAAGTCTGGACAACACAGCCATTCCAGAGAGTCTATTTTCTTAGAAACTACAGAGTTAAGGTAGGTGTAGAATGTGAAGTCCAGAAATTTCTTCCCTGTGGCTCCTGATCTTGGTCAAAGTGTTTAGCGGCCCAAGCTAGAGTGGGGAGTTTTGTTCTTACTAAAGTGTTTTTGAACAACAAAGGTTTGAGAGCTTGTGATGTTAGGAGAAGAAAAAGAAATCCCCATTAAAGAATAGTAGACCCTCAAAGATTACTGGTTATCGGGACACTTCACACCTGAATGCACGACCTTGGTAGAAATACAGTTTCCTGGTGGCACTGTAGTCTCTTATCCTAGCAAAATGAATGTGTGTGCGGACTTCTCTTTACTCCCAGCTAATCACTGCCCCTTTCCTTCCTTCCCTCCTTCCTTCCTTCCTCCCTCCCTCCCTCCCTCCCTCCCTCCCTTCCTTCCTTCTTTCCTTCCTTCCTTCCTCCCTTCCTTCCTTCCTTCCTTCCTTCCTTCCTCTTCCTCTTAGTTCTCCTAAAGTTCTGGGATACAGATGTGCACCAAGAACCATGTTCAGCTCCCCACCCATCTTTTCTTCCTCCTTTTAAAGAAATAGGATCTCCATGGTTGCCCAGGCTGGCTGGGAATTCCTGGGCTCAAGCTGTCCTACTTCAGCCTCCTGAGTGGCTGGGGCTAGGGGTGTGCCCCCCACATGTGACTCCAAGTTTTCACTTTCTTGCTGTAGCCCTTCAAATAGCAATCCTACATTACGATGTGGTCCTTGGTCTCTTTCACTTTCTCTGACAACATGGCCTAGGCCAGCCCAGCCCTGTGGCAACAAAACACACATTACATTAAGGAGCACTGCTAATTGATACAGGTCCATGTTTATCCCTGTTGATGGCTTGACTGGTGATAATCAGTCTGGCACAAAAATATGTTCTCTAGAAAGTGTGACCTCTGGCAATTTGCCTTAAAAATAATTGTAACAAACATCTCATCTGGCGATGATTAGGGGCATTTTATGACCCTAACATCCATCCTCACAAGCAGAACTGGAAAAATACTGTTAGGATAATCTGGTTCAATACTCTCAACTTATATATATGGGGGACAACTTGAAACTCAGAGAGGTTAAACACTCTAACCAAGATCACACAGCACTGCTAGGTACATACTTTGAGTTTCTAGTGGGGCTGGGCAGATAAGGGATCGCTTGTTCTCTCTAACGTAGATGTTATTAAGCAATTTTCCTAGTTCAGGGCAAGCAGCCCTGCAGCCCTGTCATCAGTTTTGTGACTCGCTGGATCCATTCTCATTCTTCAACTTGTTTTGTTGCCCTTAGGAAGCCCCAGCTGTGTCCGGCTGATTGAGGAGACTTGCTTGTCTGGGCCGGGTCCAGCAGTTGCCCCACCTCCTTGGCAGGCTGGTGGCAGAAAACAGCTGACTCCGGAGAGCTCCCTCACGTGACCACCCGCAGCTCCCTGCTCCATTCCTTGTCCCGAGAGTCAGAGGGAGTACTTGAAGGGACTCCTGTGAAGCGCACCAGGTAGGTACTCTAATCCTGAACGGCTGCAGCAGAACAGTGGGGTGCCCAGGTGGGTGGGGGTGGGGAGAGGGGGTGAGAGGTGGAGGCACCCGGCAAGCACTGTCAGATAGACTTGGGACAGGTTCGCTGAGTGGCTTCCGGGCTCTTAAAGCCGTGGGGACAGACACGGTTGGCTTCAGGTTGTCCCACAGGGTCCCACTGGTCCGTCCTTCCTTTTGTTCCCCACCCGGAGGACAGCTGCTGGACCCTTCCTTCCGATGTTCTTCGGCCTCTTGCCCCGTAACAGACCTTTCCCCTTTTCTCTCCGCTGACTTAGCAGTGTGCTTCGGGGCGTGGGAGGGACGATTAATCAGTGGCAGGAAGCTGTCTCTCTCTAGGCAAGTGACCAGAGGCAGTCAGAGAAGCCCTCAAGGCCGGTCCCAGGAGTCTCCCACCTCCCACCTGTGCCTGCCATGGAGCCCCTGAAGGCGCTGCTGCTCCTGTCCGGAGTCCTCGGGGCGCTTGCTGAGCTCTGTGGTGAGTAACTGTCTGGAGCCGGTTGCTTCCTGAGTCCCAAGGAGGATGGCTGCCTCTCCGATCGCCTTGTTATATATTTGGGGAATCAGAAGCTCGGGGTGGGGATGGGGGAACTTACGTGTCCCTCAGGTCTCCCACAGAAGTTTAGGCTTAACTGGATGTTAGTGCTTGGGCATGCTGAGTGGATGCCTGCCGCCCCGCAACCCCAAGGGTCTCCCCAGTACCCAGCAGTTTGCTCACTCACTCAGCACATATGGAACCTCTTTGGAGGGCCAGTATTTCATTTGGAGAGAGAATGGAGAGTACACAGATCTGACCCCAGCCCACCTGGAATTTATGTTGTGGGAAGGGGTTGGCAAAGGGCACGGGACGCCAGATTGGGTTGTGAGCCATGCAAAACAAGTCAACCCGGGCAACAATAGAAAGCCACAGGGGCCCATCGACTCTCGGGAGAGAGATGGGAAAGGATGTCCAAAGACTTGAAGGCTGGGTCAGAGCTGAGACCTAAAGCCCGAAAAGAAGCCAAGAAAGGAGGAAGTAGGGGGCAAGCATTCCAGGCAGAGGGAAGCAGGTAGTTGGAGGCCCTGCCTGCTCTGGCTATTTGTCTCAGGGCTGTAGTCCCCAAGAGATCTCTTATGGATTCTAGGGGCCTCTCAAACCGTGATTGTGGCCCTCAGGTTGTAGGTTCAGGCACATTCATGCACTGGGACCAGGCAGGGAGCAGAAGACTGTATGGCTCATCTCTCCCCTTCCTTCCATGTACCCTGCATTCCCAGGTCACCCCGGGCAAACCCTGAGATACAGGTGTCAGATGAAGAAGTCGAGCATCAGAGGGACCAAATGGCCTGGCACTCAAGGGGCCCCAGCTTTAGCAGAACTTTACTGCACTCAATTCTTGGGACTTCAGGCCAGCATTGTTTCTAGGCACCTGGATTCTCTGGCCATGTCCTACTAAAGTTCCTTTCTCATCCTTGGGCCCCTGGTTACTGTTCAGACAGCCCTCAGAGATTCCGTCAGCAAGCCAGAGATTCCTTTCTTGTCCACCTCAGCCACAAGAGCCCCTTCCTTCACCATCATGAGAACTTTGGGGGCTTGGGGTGCAGTCCCTTCATCACTCCTGGTCTTCTTGTGACTTTTGTAAAGTGAGCTGAGGCTGTTCCTCCCTGGTGTAGCGTGAGGATACCACACCTGCTTCTTCAGCTTAAGGCTCTGTATACAATGAAATGGACAGGACTGTTCACTAAAGCCTACACAAGGAAGGTTCCTGGGTTTCTGAATGCCAGTCGGTCTGTCCTCAGGTGAGAGGGCTGCGCAACCCTGTGAACGGCACACCCTAGTGTGGGAGTGGGAGGGCTGTGTTAGTTAGAGTCCTCTGGAGGATGGATATGTATTTGAAAAGAGTTTGTTAGACTGGCTTGCAGGGTGTGGTCACGGTAGTACAACAACAGCTGTCTCGTGAGGGAAAGGCTGAGAATCCCGTAGTTGTCCAGTCTATGAGGACAGACTATCTCAGCAGATCTAATCTGGTGCTGGAGTTCTGGAGGATTCCTGGAGAGTTGCTGGTCTCCAGTGTATGTTGGAATCATGAAGAAGGTGGATTTAATACCAACCACAGCAACAGGGTAGATGAACTTGCTAGTGAGAGTGAGGAAGGCAAGCAGGCAAAAAGCAAAGCGTCCTTCCATCTCTTATCTGCCATCAGAAAGTTTGGTCAAGATGTAGAGCGTCTTCCTGCTTGGAATGGTAATCTCATTAAGAAAACCCCTTAAAAGAGTGCCCAGCAGCTTGGGTTTTAGTTGATTCCAGATGCAGTCAAATTGACAACCAAAATTAATGATCACAGGAACCTTGCCTGAGGCCACTTTTTCTGGCTCAAGTGAATCTGCCTGGCTTCTTCCTTCTAAGGAGGGTAAATTGTGGTTACCAGCCTCCCATTACAGGTAGTGCCCTTTCTCACCACTTTAATACAAGCTGGCTCAGGATGGAGGTGAGAGCCTGGGGTGGGGTCTCTGGGCTCCTTTCCTAATCTCTGGGAAGCGCAGAAGACCATAGTCCCAGAGCTGAGATGTAGCTCAGATGGTAGAGAGCCTGCTTATCACGAATGAAGCCCTGGGTTCAGTCTCCAACACTGCATAATCCAGGAGTGGTGACATGCACCTGTGACCCCAACATGTGGGAAGGAGAGGTAGGAAGATCAGGAGTTCAAGGTCAACCTCAACAACATACTGACTCTGAGGCCAGCCTGCAATACATGAGTTGCTGCTTAAAAGGGGAAAAAAAACCCCAAAATCCTAGAGGGATAGTCAGAAAGATAGAGAGCCAGACAGAGGACCCCAGAGAACAGACAGGACTCTGGAAAAATAGAGACAGAATACCGCAAAAGTAAATCCGCTGTCCCCATCAGGGTCTCACTGTGATGTGTTGTTGGAGGTTTTCGCTCTTTTGGAGGGCCTACCACCCAGCTCCCGAAAAAACCACATATGGAGGCTTATTCTTAATTATGAATGCTCAGTCTTAGCTTGGCTTAGTTTCTTGCCAGCTTCCTTAACTTAAATTATCCCGTCTATCTTTTGCCTCTGGGCTTTTCCCATTCTCTAACTTCTGTAAATCTTACTCTTACTCCACGCTTGCTGTGTATATAGCTGTGTGGCTGTGTGGCTGGCCCCCGGAGTCCTCCTCCTTCTCTGGCTCCTAGCTCTTAGATCCCTCCTCCCAGTTTTTTCCTTGTATATATACTCTCCGCCTGCCAGCCCCGCCTATCCTTTCTCCTGCCTTACTATTGGCCAGCTCTTTATTAGACCAGCAGGTGTTTTACACAGGCACAGTAACACAGCGTCACAGAGTTAAACAAATGCAACACAAACAGAAGTAACACACCTTAAAATAATATTCGACTACAATGATTCATCCCAGGCCTTAGCCTCCCAAGTGCTGAGGTTGAAGGCCTGTGCCACCATGTCCACTGTGCATGACTGTCAGAATGAACATTTTGTGAGAAACCAGCCAGGTGCCCTGGCCTGGCTCACACAGCAAACAGTCATTTAGAGTTAATACTAGAAAATGCCCCCCCTCCCCCGCAACTTACAACCATAGATACCTATGACTTCTGGAAAAACAGACCTAAGGTGGTAAGATCCAAACTTAGAGAGATGGAGCTGTGGTCACAGGACCCTTGCCCTGGGGCTAGAAGCCCAAGAAAGCAGGCAAAGGGCCCTGTGACAGGTCTTTTCCGTATTCCTCCGGGAGAAGGTACTTCCTGGCATGCTGAGATATAGCCCGTTGGACAGCTGGAGTGGGCAGTGACTGAAAGTCAGTAAGTGGGGCACAAAGTCCACAGTGCCTCCAGGACAGTCGACTCTTCCCCATCCTGAGCTGGGGCCCTTCCCGAGGAAGGCAGGCAGTCATCAGCTGGAACTGGGGCATATCCCTGAGATTTCCGCTTGCAGAGTATTTCAGCGTCTTGGTTACGAATCTTCAGGTAAATCCCAAGCTGTGACAGATTGTTAATGGCTGGTCTCCCAGTCAGAGACCCTTTTCACTTAAAAAGGGGTGGCAGAAAAAGTGCCCTTTCAAGGTTTGTGTGGAGGAATTTCCTCAGGCCACTGGGGGAATCGGTTGGTAGAGCACACACAACATGTGAAATTTCGATGGGGAACATTGACTGTCTGAGGGCTGGAGCTTTGATCAGGGCAGGGGAGGGGGCTGCAGTCTGACTCAGGCTTGGCTCTGAAGCATCACATAAAACACAGCCTGACTTTGAACTTCTGCTTTCTCTTCTGTGCAAAACAACAATGACTATATCTACACCACAGAACTGGTGTGAGGGTCTGGGTGCCTAGGCTTACTACTGATAGGTGGGTTGCCCGGCAACAGCATCTTTTGATGTCAGCCTCTCCTTGACCCACTCTACTTCCTCTTAGGGGCTGCCTGCTTTCCTTTTTACCCTCTGCCTTTTGCCATAGCGGGCATTTCTCCACATAGGTGAGGTGTGGCCTGTGGAGAAAGTTTTACCTGGTAGGGAGATCAGAATAGTTGCTTGCTAATGGCATAGCCCTGAGGCCTCACTCATACCGTTTTCTTTCCCCAGTGATACCACAGATGGACAGCCAGCTGGTAGAGAAGCTGGGCCAGCATCTCTTACCTTGGATGGACCGGATCTCCTCAGAGCAATTGAACCCCAGCATCTATGTGGGCCTGCGCCTTTCCAGCCTGCAGGCTGGGACCAAGGAAGACCTCTACCTGCACAGCCTCAAGCTTGACAATCAGCAGTGCCTCCTAGGGTATTGATACTCTTTGCCCATGACTTGATCCGTGTCATAAGAGATAGGAGACTGGGTTCTAATTTGGGTATTTCATGGCTTTTTGACAAACTCTAGGCGTATTTTCTCTCCCCTGGGCCTTTCTCCAACTGCGGAGTGAAGTGGTAAGTGGTAGTAGGTCAGAGATGCTAACATGTGTCCTTTGTCCTGAAACTACATCCCCCCAACTCCTGAAGCAACACCTAATTCTTCCTGTGCTCCCGACTTGTGCCTGAGGCAGACATCATTAATTCATGAGCCCCAAAGTAGCACCTAACCCTTTCTGTGCTCCCTACCTGTACCTAAGGCAGACATCACTAATCCATAACTAAATATACGATTGTATATTGATACAAAGAAGCAGCATCTAACTCTGTAGTTTACTTATGTGCTAAAGACAGACTCTGCTTATCACAACTATGTTCCTTCGTGCAGAACCTAGAAGGAGCATATTTCTGTGCTCCTCCTCCAAAGAGTGGCCATTAAAGAGACACCTGCTCTGAGGTGTGAATGGGAGGTGAAGAATAAGAAAAAGCCATGAATCACCAGGCATAGTGGTTCATGCATTTAATCCCAGCATTTGAGAGGCAGAGACAGGCAGATCTCTGTGAGTTCAAAGCCAGCCTGGTCTACAGAACGAGTTCTTTAACAGCCAGGGCTATGTAGAGAGATTCTGTCTCCAAAAAAAAAAAAAAAAGAAAAAAAAGAAAGAAAGAAAGAAAAAAGTGTGTGTGTGTGGGGGAAGCCATGAAATAACTTCCTGATTCCATTTCTTCTCAAGAAGTAGATGAGGGAAGGGAGAGGAAATAAAGGGGAGAGTGCATGGCCAAACTGGGGGGTCAAACCGGGTGATCTGGGTGTAGGTGCCCTTATGGTTCATTCTTGAATGTAACCTTTCTTCTTTTAGGTATCTGTGGCTGACTGATAATTCTACTTTGTGACCTTAGTGGAGGTGATCCCAAGCCAGGCTTACCAAGGGAGCATTTTCTCATAAAGGTGTTACTGACTTGCCTTGTCCTAGGTCTGCCTTCAGCGATGACAACAGTGATTGCCAGACCAAGCCTTCCGAAGGCCACCTGGCCCTCTACCTGCTTGCTCTTAGGGCCAACTGCGAGTTCATTGGGAGCCGGAAGGGTGACAGACTGGTCTCAAAGCTCAAGTGGTTCTTGGAGGATGAGAAGAAGGCCATTGGTAAGGAGGACTAGGGAATTCTGGGAGGGCTCATCAAATGGTTTTGTTGTTTGTAGTTTTGAGGTAGGCCTCAGGTTCATAACTGCTCTCAGTAGATGATGTTCTTATGAGTTAGAACTTTGAGTTTTCTTCCAGGCTTCTCACTTCCCCTCTGTCCACATCAAGTCCACCTAGAGCAGCGGTTCTCAACTTTCCTAATGCAACCCTTTAATACAGTTCTTCATGTTGTGGTGACCCCCCCAATCATAACATTTTGCTAGTTATGAATCATAATGTAAATATCTGTGTTTTCTGATGGTCTTAGGCAACCCCTGTGAAAAGATCATCCAAGCCACAAAGGGGTTGTGACCCACAGGTTGAGAACCACTGACCTAGAGGCTCAGGCTGGATCTAGTTGCCATGCCTGACCCCAGAAACAATCTGCTGGGATGCTCAGTCACCAAGACTGACCTGTTGTCCACCTCTGGGACACCTGTCCAGCCTCCTTTCCACTTACCCCTTAGCCTCTCTGTCAACTTTCCGGCCTCCTGACTCGGACCTAATTCCAAGAGCTAAAGCAAGGCTTTTCAATATAAACCTATTCTTCATGCAGCTTAAGCCCTGCAGAGGCCCCTCGCTCTTCCATTCACAGCCCCCAGTCCCAGCTTGGCTTGCCTCTTACACTTTCTAGGCATTGGTTTGGTTACTGCTCTGTGTGCTCCCACCACAGTGATCTTTCCTCACAAATTTGGATATTCATGTGTACTCCTCCATCCCCCTTCTAGATCCTTCCTAGTTCTGTGCTCACTTCCATCCACTCCAGAGTTACTTCTGTGAAGAATCCTGTCTCAATTTCCCAGCTATTTGAAAATTTCTGTTAGGTGGCTCCAGGGACCTTGGGCCACATTTCTGTTACAAGTATGCTGTCTCATGAGCATGTCTTGGGCTGTCATCTACTCTGACCTCCAAGCACAGAACCTGGCCTACACTGAGACCTCAGCTGGGCACTGAAGGAGTGTCAGATGCCATGGTCTCCATGGAATGTGTTGGAGCATACAGACCACGGGGTCCCATGAGCCACAGGGCTTCTTGCTGGGAAGAGGCTAAAAGGGAAGCCCTCAAGCCTGACATGTCTCTTTACTCCTTGCCCTTCTAATCTCAGGGCACAATCATGAAGGTCACCCCCATACCAGCTATTACCAGTACAGCCTCAGCATCCTGGCACTGTGTGTCCACCAGAAGCGGGTCCATGACAGCGTGGTGGGCAAGCTCCTGTATGCTATTGAACACGACCACCACATCCGCCAAGGCCACCTCTCTGTGGGTGAGTGGACCTAGCCTAGCCTCCCGCCAACCCCAGGGAAGGCCTCTATGACCCACTGCTGTGCTCACCTTTCCTTGGAAATCTCCTTCTCAGATGCCTTAGAAGTGAAACGGTAGAGGCTGAGAGCCAGCTTTGAAACTGGCCTTGGATGCTGACCCCAGTTCCATCACATGTTCATCCCCATCCTGTCATTCAGGCTTTTCCTATAAAAATGACCTCCCAGCAGCAGCTCCATAAAGCGTGCATTACAAACAGAGGTCTTAGCACACACTGGGTGCTCTTGGCACCATACAGCCCGGGGAGCCTGATACCTGGATTCTGATCTGATTCCTTGTTGTGTGACCTTGGGCCACCACATCCATGTTTCATCGTCATGATTCAAGGTCTCTGCTAGGCCTGGGCTTCCATGAGTGACCGAGTAGGGCCTCTTTTAGGGAGGGTACGATAGAGGGGGGTGGTGGTGTTTGGTAGATGATTGCCCAGAGAGAAAAGGGCACCAGGGCCTCTGTCAGTAGCAGGACTGAACTGTCTCAAAGGCTCGTAGAGGAACACGGTGGACACATTACCTATAGCAAGGAGGAGAACTTAAACATTCCCAGGCCCTGGCTGCTCCTCCTATCAATTAAATCAGACTGCCCGGAGGTAGATCAGGCAGCTGTTAGTGCCACATTCTCTGAGGGGCAGGAGATGTAGCCCAGTGACCCAGCACCAGGCATGCCTGGGGACCTAAATCCAATACCCAACACTACAAAAACAATAGGAATTAATTAATCAATAAAATAAAGCTCCCTCTGTGATCCCAATGTGCATCCTGGTTTGGGAGCAGGTACTGTAGGATCCATCCTCTTGGGACTTTCTTCTTCAATCTGCTCTCAGGACACTCAGTGACCAAATCAGTTTGTCTAGGCCTGAGAGGTTTCCTGGAGCTCAATATGTTCAATGTTTGGATTGGGGAGTCCTAATTGGTACCCCAGGTGATCCTGAACCCCAAAACTACCTAGCCTGGTCCCATCAAGCTATGCAGTTCATCCTAGGCCTTATCTCCCTAGACACAGAAGCCATGGCAGGCTTGGCCTTCATCTGTTTGGATCGGTTCATTTTCAACCCTGATCTAAGACCACGAATCACCATGGCCATTGAGACAATTCGAGAGAAGATCCTGAAGGCCCAGACCCCTGAGGGCAACTTTGGGAACATCTACAGCACCCCACTGGCACTACAGGTAGGAAAGAGACCCTGGAGCCATGACCACTCAGCAAGTCAATGGAGGGAGGGCTGGTGAGCGGCTGGAAGACCTGGCTCCTCCCCAGTGATTGACCTACATCCTCCTTCTCTTCCCCACAGTTTCTGATGGCCTCCCCTGCGTCTGGGGTAGGACTGGGCACAGCATGCCTCAAGGCAAGGGCATCTCTGCAGGCCAGCATACAGGGTGGGGCCTTCCAGAATCCTCTGATGATTTCCCAGCTGCTACCGGTCCTGAACCACAAGACCTACCTGGATCTTATCTTTCCAGACTGCCAGGCGCCCAGAGGTAGCTGAGCCCTTTCTGTTTCCTGAGTAATCTGCTATCTGTGGGTCCCAGTGATGCTTTGCTGAGCCAACATGAGTGTATGGGTCTGCATAGGACATGGCAGCTAAAATGAGGCCAATCTTTTGATGCTCATGGTGTGGAAACAGCAAATAAGCACTCCAAGTGGTGCCCACTGTGTGATACCCACCATGGAAATGTTTGAGGGAAGGGATGGAGAAGTGTATTAGCCAAGATTCTCTAAAGGAGCAAAATTTATAGAATGATTTCTTAAATTGACATACACTATATGGTCCAGCTAGTCCAACAGTGACTATCTCATTCTGGAGAGGATGAGAATCCCAGAAGGGATTCCTGCCGGGCGGTGGTGGTGCACGCCTTTAATCCCAGAACTCAGGAGGCAGAGCCAGGCGGATCTCTGTGAGTTCGAGGCCAGCCTGGTCTACAGAGCGAGTCCATGAGGCTGGATATCTCAGCAGTTCCAGCATGGTGCCGAAGGCTTGAAGGATTCTGGAGAGCTGCTGGTCTCCCGTCTACATTGGGAGTCTGAAGAAGCGGGTTCTAGTATCAGCAAAGGAACGCTGTAGTAACAGGACAGATGAACTTGACAGTAGGAGCGACAGGAAGCGACCAGAAAGCTGCTCCCTTCGTACCCCTCGTCTGGGCCGCCAGCAGAAGGTGCCGCCCGCATTCACAGAGGTCTTCCCTGTTATGAATAATCCAATCAGGAAAACTCTGTCCGAGGAATACCCAGAGACTTGCATTTCAGTTGATTCTAGATCCAGTCAGGTTGACTATTTGATGGATCATCACAGATACGTGAATGAATGAGTAGAGAGAGACACGTTTGGTTAATTTTGATACCTAAGGAGCCTTAATTCCCAGCGCTGAATCCTTTGGGCACCATTTTGGTGAAGAACCTGAAGTAGTGAGTGGGATTTGCCAGAGAAGTTGGGGGGAGAGAGCACATCATCGGAGAAGGCAAAAGCAAACGCACAAACCAATAATGCAGGGTTAGGGGCATCATCTTGGAAAAGCGTGGGTCTGGGGGAGTGAGCAGGAGTAGGAGATAAATTCGTAGAAAGAAGATGAGTCCATGAGAGATAACCAGGAAGTGACGTGAACAAATGTAGCGTCCTCTGAGGTGCAGTGTAGCAGGTGGGTGGGCGGCAAGAAGCAGAGACACCAGCAAGGGCCTCAGTCTTGGGCTGTGGGAGGCTGTGGAGGCTGAGGGCCAAGGGGGCTGGGGTAAGAGCCAGGTTTCAACTGGGCAGGTGTTCGTGGCATTGACTGAGCTACAATGGGGGAAGAAAGAAGTCATATCCAGGCCCCCCATCCTCATGGCAGCTACTTTCCCTTCCTCCCTGGCATAGTCATGTTGGAACCCGCTGTCGAGGGCCCTTCACCAGCCCATATCCCAGAGGTCATCAGTGTCACGCTGAAGGTCTCCAGTGTCCTGCCACCATACAAACAAACAGTTTTAATCCTTGCTGGGTCCTCCCTGGAAGATGTCCTGAAGATGGCTCAAAACACAGGAGGATTCACGTGAGACTCCCATTCCATTCCTGGCCTTCACCCCCCTCAGACCTCCATGCTTGAAATGGTATCATGGGAAGGATGGGGAGCAGACACATTTCTTGGGGGACATTCTGGCTCAATTTCTGCTTCCACCTTTTTTTTAAAAAAAGATTTATTTTGTATACAGTATTCTGTCTGCATGTATGCTGCAGACCAGAAGAGGGCGCCAGATCTCATTACAGATGGTTGTGAGCTACTGGCTGGGAATTGAACTCAGGTCCTCTGGAAGAGCAGCCAGTGCTCTTAATTGCTGAGTCATCTCTCCAGCCCCCCAAATGATTTATTATTCTTTTTGTTTTGTTTTTTATTTTTTGAGACAGGGTTTCTCTGGAGCCTTAGCTGTCCTGGAACTCACTCTGTAGACCGGGCTGACCTCGAACTCACAGAGATCCACCTGCCTCTGCCTCCCGACCACTGGGATTAAAGGCGTGCGCCACCATTTTTAACCTGCTTCTACCTTTTGCACTCCGTTCTGGTCTGTGTTTGGACCTGTGGTGTTTAGCCTGTGGTGGGAGCTATGGACAACCACGGTCATCAAGAGAGCTAGCTCTAGAAGCCGAGACCCAGCCTAGGAATTCCAGTGCTTCTACCCCCACCCCCGCCCCAGCTAGTGAGCCTGGACAGTTATTCAATGAGGGCATGAGACAGCCTCTCAGGGCCAGTGCGAGGAGCCCACGGTTATTGGTGGACATGCTTTGTGTAGGTCTAACGCCTAGCATGCAGTGAGGACGCCAGGAAGATTAGTAGTATCAAATCACCAAGATGAACTCTTGCCATTAATAACCCTGAGAAGACAGGCAACACGCTTTTGTCCCTTGAGATCTGATGAGCCTGGGAATGAGCATATCTTAATTGCTGCTCCTTCCTGGACCCTGGCCATACCTGGAGGTGGACAGGACTCACCAGGGGAACTCTGGCTCACAGAAATTGAGTTCTGCCAGCCTGCTCTCTCTCCTGGATTCTTGCCTCATCTTGAGGAATCCCTACTTAATTTCTTTCTTTTTTTTTTTTTTTTTTTTTTTTTTTTTTTTTTTTTTTTTGATTTTTCGAGACAAGGTTTCTTCTCTGTGTAGTTTTGGTGCCTGTCCTGGATCTCGCTCTGTAGACCAGGCTGGCCTCGAACTCATAGAGATCTGCCTGGCTCTGCCTCCCGAGTGCTGGGATTAAAGGTGTGCACCATCACCGCCCGGCAGGAATCCCTACTTTCTGGTCCCAGCAAGAGTTCCAGGGAGGGTTGACAGTGAGGACTGTTTGGTCATTTGGGCCAGGAACTCTCAGACCAGAGCTGTATAAATACCACTGCCATTTATTTATTTATTTATTTGGTTGGTTGGTTGGTTGGTTGGTTGGTTTTTCCAAGACAGGGTTTCTCTGTGTAGCCCTGATTGTCTTGGGACTCACTCTGTAGACCAAGCTGGCCTCAAACTCAGAGATCTACCTGCCTCTGCCTCCTGAGTTCTGGGATTAAAGGCATGTGCCTGACAATACTACTGTCTTTAAAAGGACCAAAATGCACCCCCTTCCCAGGCTGAGTGGTATATCCCCCCCACATCCCCAGGGAGGATTGAATCTAGAGCCTTCAACCTGCAGAAACAAGAGCTCTACTACTGAACCACCATAGTTTTACTTTTCATTTGGAAACAAGGTCTGGCTAGCCACAAATCTTATTGCTATGACAAAAGACCTCTCTCTCTCTCTCTCTCTCTCTCTCTCTCTCTCTCTCTCTCTCTCTCTCTCCCTCTTTCTCTCTCTCTCTTAGACAGAGTCTCATTATGTACTCCTGGTTAGGCTTACACTTACTGTCTAGACTTGAACTCACAAAGATCCTCCTGCTTCTGCCTTCTGGGTACTGGGATTAAAATATCTCTAGACAGTTATAAATCCTAAGCAACTTTGCAAATTAAAAAGGGAAAAATCACATATAAAAAACAAAGCAAATCTGCCAGATGGTGGGCATGTGTCTACCACGAAGCCACACCCTGAGCCCTCTCTTTCTGACTTTTAAATGTTTCCCCTTGAACTTGCTGTGTAGCTGAGGGTGAGCTCAACCGTCTGCCCCTCTTCCTCCACTTCCCAAGTGCTGAGATTAGGGATGTGTGCTACCCAGTCAGTTTATGAGTGATGGGAATCAAACCAAGGGCTTCATACATGCTAGATAAGCTCTTGGCCAACTGAGCTACATCTCTGGTCCCTACATTTAAAAAAAAATGTGACTGAGACAGAGGTATTTTGTTGTTTTATTGTGTTTTAAAATTTGAGACAGGGTTTTATAATTTGCCCAGGTTGGCCTTGTTCTGTAGTCCAGACAGGCCTTGAATTCTCAGTGCTCTTGCCTCAACCTTCCAAGTAGCTTGGATGACAGGCCAGAGCCACCAAACTTGGCTGGCTTATATTTCTTGAAACGGAGGCAATCCCTCCCTGTCTAAGATGGAAACTGCTGATGAGCCCTTTGGAGGGACAGAACGCACGATCCATGGAGTGCTGGTGGTGTCTAGGAGGGTTGGAGGAATGTGAAGTTGGAGGCAAGAGGTTCAGAGAAGGCTGTTGGGTGAGTGAGAAAAGCACCTATAGGTGCCAGGTTCTTGAATCTAACTCCAGTTCTCTTCAGAAACGGTCAGAGTAGAGAGCAGAATCCGACAGCAGAGTAGGCGGCCTGGGCCTCCAAAGAAGGGAATGCTACCAAGTGAGGAGACTGTAGTGAGACCCAGTGCCTCTGTCCTCACATCTCTGAGCTCTGCCCTCACACTCTGGTTCCTTCTCAACTCCATCAGCCCCAAACACCCACACCCACACACCAAGAGTTGAGTACCTCCTGAGGGATGATGGAGGCTAACACCTGGGTGGGCAGCATCAGTGGAGCAGTAGAGAAGGAGTAGAGGGGAGAGCCATGACCTGCAGTGAGACGGCCTAGGAAGCTGTCCTGGTTAGCTTTCCATTGCTGTGAAAAACCCCACAGTCAAAAGCAATTTGGAGGTGGAGAGGGTTTGTATAACTTATAGACTACAGACCATCATTGAGAAAGTCAAGGCAGGAACCTAGAGACAGGAACCCAGAATTGCCTGCACTTGGGTAGGGGGTGTGTGGGTGTGTTGTGGGGGTGACACCCAGTGTCAATCATCAGTCAAGACAATGCCCCAAGGACATGCCCACTGGCCAATCTGATGGAAGCAATCTCTCAACTTCCTCTGGCCAGGTGTCTCTCTCCCTTGTTTCAAGTTGATTCAAACTAACCAGCACAGAAGGGTTAGGAAAACGGTGGCCCTGAGGGGAGGCAGGCTTCTGTTGGTGTGGGTGAGACCCCATTTTCTTCCTTGGGGATAGCACTAGTTCCTCTCTTTACTTCTCTGTTTTCTAGGTATGGGACACAAACCTCCTTGTCAGGCCCCTACCTGACATCTGTACTGGGAAAAGAAGTTGGGGATCGAGAATTCTGGCAGCTCCTCCGAGACCCTGACACCCCCCTGCTGCAAGGTAAGTCTGGTGGCCTGCTGCTGCCCTGGATACCTCCTAGCCCAGTCCTGACCACAGGAAAGTGAGGCTGCAGCCACCCAGCCCAGCCTTTCCCCTCAGCCCTCCTGGGCCACAGCTTCAGAAACCCATCCAAAGGGGGCAACTCATGCTCAAAGTTGGATCCAAAATATTTCATTGAATTCTTAGAATTTTTATGGAAGTAGTTTGGAGAGTCCAAGAAACAAGAACGAATAAAAGTCTATATTTCACTACCTAGAAATTAAATCCTACACTTTAAAAGAGATTTTTTAAAAGTTTAATTTTGATTATGTATATATGTGTGCATGTGTGAATGTGAGTGTGTATGTGTGTGGGGTGGGTTGGGTTGGTGCACATGAGTGCAGGGTTGGATCCTTGGTGGTTGTGAGCTGCCTGATGTGGGTGCTGGGAACTGAACTCAGGTCCTCTGGAAGAGCAAGCAATGCTCTTTTTTTTTTTCCTTTTTTAAAAAATTATTTATTTATTTATTTATTTTTTATTTAATGCTGAATGCTGTTTATTGAAGGAGGGAAGAGGTCTTAAATACAGGCTTACAGCACAATGGGAGAACCCCGGAGGGCAGAAGTTTGCTACCGATGTTTTACAATCTTGCATCTAAGCTGTTAACGCCCATTATGCAGGATACACAGACAAGGAACTTCCCTTAAGCGTTCAGGAGGGTGGAACCTGGCAGGGAATTAGCATAGGGAGGATATCAAGGTCAAGGTCAGCAAGCAAGGCAACAGTTACCCAAAACAGGGGCCAGGACCCTTCAGGTCCCCCTTTTACTAAAAAATGAGCTTCTGACTTAGGTTGCATGGGACGTCAGCAGGTCACCTTACCTGTCATGGAGACACCTGCCCAGGCCACACAGGCACTCTGTCTTAGGTTGGTGAGCGCCCCCCAGGTATTACTCGTCTCTGAATACTCATTATCATACAGGCTCAATCGTGTGTGAGCTGCAGAGTTAATTGCTGCCAAAGATCTCAAAGTGGCGCTGGGGCAAGCAATGCTCTTAACCACAGAGACATCGCTCCAGCTCAAGTCTTTTAACTTTTGATAGATTTTCTTATATCTACAAGAAATACGTACAATGCTTATTTTCATTTAAAAATGGAATCATATTATGTCAACACTATCCAACTGATATAAAATGTCAGATATATGTGTAAATTTTTTTCTAGTTGGTAAAACTAATATTACATAATATATCTTAGCTCACTATATCTCAGATATTATCACTCAAGGATGTAAAATCCCAATGTAAATCACTAATGACACATTTACATGCTTTTCTTTCTTTTCTTTTCTTTTTTTAAGTTAATTTTTTTAGCATGTAGCCTAAGCTGGTCTTGAACTCACAATCTTCATGTCTCAGCCTCCTGGGATTAACAGTGTGTTCTCACCATACCTGGCTTTGAAGGCTCCACTTCTTGACCTAATCACCAACCAGTCACCTTTTAAAACCATCACTTTGGGGTTAGATTTCAGCACGGGGATTTTGGGGGACACAGACAGTCATACCAAAGCATCTTGTTTAAAAGAAAATCTCCCTTGGTGGTGCAGGAAGATTGCTGTGAGTTTGAGGCTAGCCTGGTCTATATAGCCAGGCCCTGTCTCAACCAAATAAAAATGAGTCAGCAAATGGAACTGTCTCTGGACACCTGGGTTCTCAAGGGATCCTTTTTTTTTTTGGTTTTTCGAGACAGGGTTTCTCTGTGTAGCTTTGCGCCTTTCCTGGGACTCACTTGGTAGCCCAGGCTGGCCTCGAACTCACAGAGATCCGCCTGGCTCTGCCTCCCGAGTGCTGGGATTAAAGGCGTGCGCCACCACCGCCCGGCTCAAGGGATCCTTCTAATTCCTCCAGGTTTATTGATATTATTTCTAAGTTGTTAATTTTATGGCGCTAGGAATGAACTTGGGCCTCAGGCCTTCCACTGAGCCACACCCAGCCTGGATGCCGATTTTATTATCCTCCCATTTTCTCCAGTGAAAATATGGTGTTCACTATGCTAGTGAGTGACAGAGATGGGACTTGAAGCCAGGTGTCTGCTAGACTGAAAGGTCACTTCTGGGACATTTCATTAATGACACTCCCTGGACCACACCAAGACAGTTCCTCTGTCTGACAACTCTATTTTGAAGATAGTGACCCTTGCCAAGGACGGGCTGCCCCCGTTTCTTTCATGCTCTTATCCAGCTGTTAGTCCCACATCTACCCACTGGGGGCGCTCTCTCTGCTGTATGAGCCTGTTAGTACTATGTCTACCTACTGGGGGCGCTCTCTCTCTGCTGTAGGAGCTTGTTAGTCCCATGTCTACCCACTGGGGCGCTCTCTCTGCTGTATGAACCTGTAGCCTGAGGGATCCTGCCAAGGCTGGATCAGGGTCTCCAGTTGGCTCCGCACAGCTCCCAGTTTCCTACCAAACCCTGAGTAGGTCTTACAGATGTGGCTTCAGGGTAGTGGTCACATGATGTGGTTGGGGGTGGGACATTGCCTTGCTAACCCCCTTTCTTCCATTGGTTTCTGCAGGCATTGCTGACTACAGACCCCAGGACGGGGAAACCATTGAGCTTCGGCTAGTTAGCTGGTAGCCTTGGGCTCCCCCCTGATGTCCTCGGACCCCCACTGCCACCTCAAGTGCACTTGGAGCAATGTACCCCAGACCACCTCTGCTACCTCAGCAAAGAGGATCCTAAGCCACTGCCTACCTGGGAACAGGAAGGAACAAACCTCTCCTAAGGAGGCTACTTCTTTAAGTCTGGCCTTCCTGACTCCAGGGGCCTTTCATGTGATCTAAAGAACAGGCTGCCCTTGACCTCCTCCACATAAGTCTGCTGGCTGTGGGTGTTGTGAGTACCACTGCTCTGGGACTGGAGTTCTGCAAGGAAACCTCCACGGCCCAGGGGCTGTGGTTCTGACCCCCCAGCCTCACTCTTCTTTGTCAGGGTGGTATTCCCAGAGCTGGTCAGGAGGCAGCTGCTGGCCAGGCCTCAGCAGGGCCTTCCAACATAATTAAAGCCTTGATTTCCCTTTGCATGGCTGCAGTGTTCTGGTGTCTCATGGTCACTGCCTGGGGGTGAGGAGCAGAGATGTCTGGGGACTCCAGCAGGATGTTCGACTACGTTCCCATGTGCCAGGCAGTGAATTGGCACAAACAGAGCTGTACACCTTTCTGAATATTGTACAGTATTTTCATCTCACTGTAGAGATGAGGGAACCAGTGGTTAAAAAAAAAAAGTCAAAGTGACTCACCCAAGGTCACAGCTGGGAAGTGATCCTGTAGGAGGCACTGTCAGGCAGGAGATACGACTTCAGAGACAGATGTGGCTACTGACCCTGATGGACCGAAGATAATTTGCTGTGGACTGGGCAGTAGCTGAGTAGTAGAGCACTTGCCTAGCTTGCACAAAGCCTTCCGCATGTAGCCTAGGCTGGCTTTGAACTCACATTCCTCATGTCTCAGCCTCCTGGGATTACCAGTGTGTCCCCACCATACCTGACTTTGAAGAACTAATTACCTCCCAGTCACCTTCCAATACCATCGCTTTGGGGTTAGATTTAAGCACATGGATTTTGGGGGACACAGACAGTCACACCAAAGCATCTTGTTTAAAAGGAAATCTCCCTTGGCGGTGCACACCTGTAAGCCCAGCCCTCAACAGAGAGGACTGCATCCCAGAACTGCATGAAACAAGAACTGAAGGGGACTTGATGGGCTGGGGACATTGCTCCCTTGTTACAGTGCCTGCCGAGCATGCGCAAAGCCCCGAGTTTAGCACCATATAAAGTCGGGCTTGGGGGAGCACACCTGACATCTGAGTGCTTGGGAGACAGAAGCATCGGGAATTTAAGGTCCCTCACATCTGCATGAGGAATTTGAGGCCAGCCTGGGCTATCATTCTGTCAAAAAAAAAAAAAAACTTAAACAAAGGTACACACACACACACACACACACACACACACATTTGGAGCTGAGGACCAAACCCAGGGCCTTGCACTTTCTAGGCTAGTGCTCTACCTCTGAGCTAAATCCCCAACCCCACAAAGCTATATTTGCCCCAAAGATTCCCACCCACCAATCTGAAGATAGCCAAGGGCAATCAAAAACCTGAAGTTGGGACTTGCCCGCCTCACCTCCACTGAGGGCTCTGTACCTCTTCCTCTTCTGGGTGTGACCAACCACAACTGCTGCCACTTCCAATTTCAGCTCCCAGGTCCCTCTTTCTGAGTTTATGTCCTCAAGCAGGTGTCTAGTCTGGCACACTCAGCAGGGACCCAGAGAAGCCAGGGATGGGAAGACAGTCATATTCTGTGCAGGGTCTCACCATGAGCTCAAAAAAAAAAAAAAAAAAAAAAAAAAAAAAAAAAAAAAAAGGCCCCCTTTCCATCCAGAGGGACCAGCCTGTGTGCCATCTACTTCTGATTCAAAACTGTGGGGTGGTGCTCTGGTTCATGGTGTGTTTGTGACTGTGGTTTCCTCATAGGTCACATACAGGATACTAGAGCCCTGGTGTAGAAATGACCCAGTCAGGGTTGAAGCCATAAGAAAAAAAGCTCAGACCGCAACATCTGCAGCCCAGTCACTAGGGATGGGTTCCTTTTTCCTCTCCAGCCTCCCTCAGAAATGTTTTCTACACCACCTGCTTCACAGAAGAGCTGTTGGGCCCCTCAAACAGCAGGGGTCAGATTTGACGGCGCTGTGTGAAGTGCAGGCTGCTTTGAGATTTTGAGTGGACCCCAAGAATGTGAAAGAGCCCTCCAGGGATGCGCTCCTTGATTCTGGGTTTCCTGGCCCTCTATTCTCCCTCATGCAAATACCTAGAGTCCCGCTGTCTGTGCAGTGAGACAGGTTAAGTGGGCAGTGACACATGCTTGTAATCTCAGTACTCCCGCACACGCACACACCACAAATAATAAACTGGTGTAGTCCTTTCTCAATGGGACCACCAAATAGCAACACAGAAACTGCTTATTAATTATGAAAGCTTGGCTTTTAGCTTAGGCTTGTTTCCAACTAGATTTTTTTTTTTTTTTTTTGAGACAGGGTCTCTGTGTAACAGTCCTAGCTGTCCTGGAACTCACTCTGTAGACCAGGCTGGCCTCGAACTCACAGAGATCCACTTGGCTCTGCCTCCCAGGTGCTGGGATTAAAGGTGTGCGCCACCACCGCCTAGCTAACCCATATTTCCTAATCTATTTTTTGCCAAGTGGCTCTTTACCTTCCCTCAATATGGCAGTCCGACTTGCTTAGAGTCCGCTAGTAAAATCCTTGGGCCTAGATTCCTCCTCTCAGAAGTCCCACCTATTCTCTCCTGCCTAGCTATTGGCCATTCAGCTTTTTACTAAACCAATCAGAAGGTGCCCTAGGCAGAGACACATCTTTACAGTGAACAAAAAGATTATCCACAACAATAAATAAAAATTTTAAAACTGAAAGTAGTACTTTTTTTTTCTTTTGGTTTTTCAAGACAGGGTTTCTCCATGTAGTTTTAGAGCCTGTCCTGGATCTTGCTCTGCAGACCAGGCTGGCCTGGAACTCACAGAGATCCGCCTGGCTCTGCCTCCCGAGTGCTGGGATTAAAGGCATGAGGCACCGCCATCCGGCTGGAAGTAGTACTTTTTAATTGAAAGAAGCTTAGTGGATAATGAATTTAAAAATCCCAGAGGAATATAGCTCACAGGAAGCCCAGATTCCTTCTCTTTAAAAAAAAAAGTGTGTGTGTGTGTGTGTGTGTGTGTGTGTGTGTGTGTGTGTGTGTGTGTGTGTGTGTCTGATTCAGTTTCCCTCCCATGACTCTTCTTGGAGAAACTATCTAAACGCCCCAGATTTTGGTCCTTTGCCTGGAAGTCCCGTATCTACAATCCCTGTCCTCCTTCAACTTGGGCTACTGAGCAGCGATCTACCGCTCCCACGGGAATCAGACTCATCAGAGACAAGTGTGACAGTGTAGATTCCTGGTTCATCCGGAACAGAGGTCTGATTCAGGTCTCCCGTGGGACTGGCTTATTTTCACCTTTGATGGTTGTGAAGGGATTTGGAACACTTACGGCCATGCAGAGTTATGACCACCAGAGGGTGCTGCTGGCCAAGCGACACAGTCCCGCTTTGTGATCTTGTTTTTCTAGGCAGGTTGTCATCCAGGACTTGTTAGTCAGATGACAGAGCCAGGTGGTGCCTGTCCAGGTGAGCGGGAGCTTCCCCAGAAATCCAATGACTGGAAAGAAGCTAGGTTCCAGGATGACCTTGATTCTTGATCACCTGGAACAAGCTGGACTTGGAATCGGCTTCTGGGGTGAGCTGCTTACCCTATCCTGAATTCAGAGACCATCTCTTTTTCTGATGGGAAATCCGAGAACCATCCAGGAGCAAGGTCTTAGTGGCAGCTGCTCTGCCTCTCGGCCCAGGACTCTGTTGTGTGGGCCCCAGGAAATCCAACTGTGAGTCACCTAGGAGTACCCAGGGAGCAGCACAGGGGGTCGGCTAGCCCGGGATGGATGCCTGCCCTTGGTACTCTGCTTCTCACAGCTGTGGTTAGCCCTGGTGATTCATTTCCCCTTCTGCTGGCCCAGAGGGGACGCCGCCCTGGCCTGGCAGGGGAGAAAAGACTTGGTGGGGAATGGAGGGGGAACAAGATGAGGCAGTCTTAAGGGACCACGTGGTCCAGCTCCGCTGAATTCCAAGGTCTCAGGAGACATTTGTGGTCTAGGATCAGGTGGTTCCTCTTCAACGCCCTGCTTCTTTACTACAGCTTTGGGACAGCTCTGCAGGATACCCCAGGGTTTCCAGCGCTGGATACTGGTCTTTAAGGGAGGCCCTTGGTGCTGGAGACGCCCAGACTCCCGCTTGTGGCGGGTACAGCCGACACTCCCCACTAAGGGACTCTGCTCGCGGCTGCGCAAGCCGAGCTAGGAGGTGCAAAGGCTGTGGGAGGAGCTAGACGTCCTCCAGGCTCCGGGGCGGGGCCTCGTGGGGCGGGGCCCGCGCTGAGCCCAACTTTCCGGGTGGAGCGCTGCTTCGGTAGCCGCGGGGAGGGCGGGGTCGGGAGCGCGGAGCAGCGCGGAGCAGCGCTGGCGCGCAGGGCCGGACTGGAACCCGGTGCTGGACGCTGCCAGATCCACCGCGGGAGCCGAGCCGCAGAGCAGCCAGAGCAGCCAGTGCCGCCAGAGCAGCTGCAACCAGGCCGTGCTCACAGATCCGTGCCTGCCGGCCTGTCCGCCTCTATTCCCCGCGCTGTCAGTGGCGAGGGGGACTGGGGGAGCGGCTGCTGCGACCGTCGCTCCCACGCTCCGAGCGCGATCGCCCCTGCCCTGTCTGGTCACGGCCTGAGCACCAAATACGCAGGAGGTCGGAGTCAGTGTCTTCATCCTGACGGTCTGGGGACCGAAGAGGAAAAAAGCCAAGAGGATTCCGTGTAAGAGCATCGCGTGAGCACGGGGCGTGGAGGAGGTGCGAGAGGTGCCAAGGTTTACCAGACCTGTGTGGGTACCAGGCGGTCCGGCATCTCAGCGGCCACGACCTCTCTTCTGCCCTGAGGAAGTTAGAATAATCAGCTGACTCGGGTCTAGCACTTGAAGCGGTGCCCTCTCTTGTCCGAGGAATCAGGACCTGGCCCAGCGAGTCCCTGGAAAGCCTGCCTCCTGCCGCAGCCCCACTGGTGCGGATGTGCCGCTGCCCACTGGAGCGCCATGAAGGCAGGATGACCTCAGCCGAAGCAGTGGCTGTGGCTGGAAGTGCCCGGGAGCATGGCTGCCCCAAGTGGCCTCCTGACAACCCTCAGATCCTTGGGCAGCCTGCTCGGGCCAGAGTGGTTGTGGCCGCCCTGGCGTGGCTGTTGGCAGGAGCCAGCATGTCAAGCCTCAACAAGTGGATCTTCACAGTGCATGGCTTCGGACGGCCCCTGCTACTCTCAGCACTGCATATGCTGGCAGCGGCCCTGGCATGCCACTGGGGGGCTCGGCGGCCCATGCCCCGCAGCACCCAAGGCAGAGTGCTGCTACTCAGCCTCACCTTTGGTACCTCCATGGCCTGCGGCAAC